TTTAAAAAATATTTTGACACCTAAAACCTCTTAAACACTCAAAACTAAACCATAATAGAACATAATTAACCTAAAAATAATATAAAGAAAAAATAATTTTGAAAAATGGCATTTTTGTAAAGATTTCAAAAATGTGATATTTTTGTAAAATGGTATTTGAAAAGTGACATTTTTTTAAATTTCTCTTTTTTTTTGTTTGTCTTTTTATATTTAGTTTCGTAGATTATATTACCAGTAAAAGTCATTTTCAAAAAAGAAAAGAAATGAAAAACAAAATTATTTTGTAAAAGTCATTAGTATTGAATAGATTTTGTAATAATGGTGTTAATTTCAAGCATCCGACGGATAAAATTAGAATTCAGCTATATAAAAGTATTTTTTTACCAAAAAAATATTTAAACTAAAAAAAAATAACGGTTACAAACTATGATTTTGGATCGTAAGATACAACTTTAAAAAAAAAAAAATGATGTCAGAAAATATCTAATAAACAATAAAACAAAAAATATGTGTAACGGATTAAATTTGAGTATTTTAAATATTTAAAGTTGTTATTTGAATTTTTATTAATATATGTAAAATTTCAATACGTGATAGAGTTTTTCATATAGTTTTGAGAGAAACATAATTTGTGGATATTATGTTCTATAGATTTTTTTATTAAATTCAAGAAGTGTTATTCTATAGTTAATTTTTTGTTTTTTAAAAATGTCATTCTATATTTTCCAAGATGATTTTTGACATGCAATTTATTTTTTATCTTTTATTTAAAGATAATAAAATTTATATTAGAACCATTAATTGATATATTTAATAAGGACAAATACGTATATTTCAAAAAAATCCTTAATCTATCTGAAGTGGATTATGAAACGGATAGTATATTTTTTTTTTTATGATATTATTATACTTTTAGGAGTTGACCAAAAAAAAGAAATTATAATTTTATGATAAATGAAACTGTCTCATACAAATAATTATTTTAACATGTTTCGGAAAGAAATAGATGAATCGGAAAATGGTTAAATTTTACAGTTCATATGTTTTTCAGCTTTTTTCTCTTTTTGAATCTGGTATTTTCTTTCTAGTTGCAATCAATTCTGTTCAATAATGGTAATCTATTGAATAATTGTTTTCTTGATTTGCGAATAAAAAATCTAGCAGCTTTTTTTTTTAAATATGTTTTTGGACTTTATCTTCTTTTACATTAAACTAAAATCCACAATTATTGACATGACTCATAACTTTCAAAACACAGAGAAAGAAAATGATATTTTATAAAAAAAAATGACGACTATATATCGTGACCCAAAAAAAAAAATGACGACTATATATTATTATTGTGGGATTAAAAGCTGTTGACTTAAAGCAATAAAAATGGCTGAGAAAAAGGACATATGTCGATATGACGGATTATTGAAATGACGGACAACTTACAAAATAAAATAAAGAATATTGTAAACCTTAATTAAATTGGAAAATAAATAAATTAAAAAGCTAACTATCCCTTAAATAAAATAAAAAATAATTGGAGAATCAGACAGGTGTTGGAATGCCAATCTAGGGCTCCAAATTTTAGGGAACTTTTCAAGCGATTAAATCCAACTACTCACGCTTAAACACGTATGTACCTTTGCATATAATATTGGACACGTAATGTACCTACGTTTCTGTATAACAATACAATGAAAATACAGATTTTTTTTTTCATATGTGAGTAATATTAAATAACGAATTACAAAGATAGAACCATTAGCCGAATGTCAAAGTGTAAAACATTGAAGTCAGAAAAAACTCATAACAGAGAAGACAAAACCCGTAATGGTGGAGAAGTCTTACAAGTTACAACCGAAAGACCGGCCTAAACATTTTGAACAAATTATATTCTGAATAAAAAAAATTAATCAAGCCGAGACCACCTCTACAAACATACTTTAAAGAACCATATAGGAGCGGGAGACTTGCTTTGACACCTAAACTTCACACCAAAGAAAGACGAATACTAAGAAGCTAAAAGTCATCCTTAGGTACATTACTAGCTACCACCACGGCCTGT